GACACTTTTTCTGCACGTGCTGCAAACAGGATAGCCGTCTTCTATCAACTGTCCCTCGGCATTCTTCAAATATCCAAAAGATGCCCGTACTTCCGACTTTGTCTTCTTTGAGGGATAAAAAATGTCCTCCTGAGCGCTGCCATCTCCTCCTTTGGCCATTATTTCAGCTTTAGCTTCAAGAAAGTTTTGGTTGTAAACAGCAAAGCGTGCATGTGCCGCCGGTCCTGCAACTTCAGCAGATGATACGGTGGCTGGTAAGGGTCACCGCGCCTACACCGCAGCCACGGTAAACCCACCAAGATAATATAGTTTTTTTTAAAAACAAGACGGTTATTATTATTGTCAACTTTTTTTTTTACCGGGGTTTACTGCTACACTGGTTACCGTGACAACCCTACCTGATTGGTCTGCTTTGATCTATTTTGAAAACTCTGATCAAAACCGATAGGGGCTCTATCGGCCGATTACGATCAAATGCCGATCCATCGGTGCATCCCTAGATTTAACATACCTTGGAACACGCCCTCTCAGAGACAGAAAGTTCTGGGTTGTCACGTGACAAAAGGTTATGTGAGTGCAGTTAACCTTAACCTGATTTACTGTGTCCTGCATGATTGTGTATAAGTGCAGATGATCTTCTTGTCACTGTTAAACATTACTGATTATCATAAATAATAATTATTATTAACCAAAGAATAATAATTCATTTCAGTAATTAAATACATTTATAATGAACCTTGATGATTATTTATGAACATTGTAATAGACAGTGAAAAGAGTTTATTAAAAATAATTCTTTTAAATCTTGAAGTGTCCTTCGTCTTGCGGATGGAACAGCAGTCAGATAAAGGCAGTCAAAATTGAGGTCAGAATGAGAGGCCCTCAGATCATGAGGAGTCATGCTGCCCCCTGCTGGTTTCTTCAGACTTGTCTGTGGAAAAGAAAACACTGCATGCAGATTGTCGTTAAGGCTCTGCAAAACCTGCTCACTAGTGAAAGCTACAGCGCCACCAGACTGAACTGGCTGGAACAGCAGGTGATGGTTAGACATCAAGAGATCTGGGAGTCCTCGGAGAGAGACACCTGAAGAGGATCCAGGCTCATACGGTCATATTAGAGGAGGCTGCGGAGGAAGCACAGCCACGTTTAGGATCAGACAGAGACATGTGACTAGCAAGAGAAACATTGTCTGTCCTGAAGACTGAAACCAAGAATGATTTAGGCTATAGACAGGTGCAGGCGCAGCCTTACGAGGGTCCGGAGCAGATGTGCTCTCTGGAGGACCCCCGGTCGACACACAGATGCGATCAGAGAGATCAGGGTCAGCCAGTAGAGGTACAGGGCGACATCCGACCCCCCCTCTGGTAGGTAAATCACACACTGCAGGAGCAGAGGTCTTCAGCGCCACCTGTAGCGGAGTAAGGACAGTGATGGCGTCTGCCCCCCTTTTGGTAGGTGGTGTTCCCACCGCAAAGTACTGGGCTTCAGCTGGAGTCTCAGTGCCACCATCAACTCTCCCTGCAGCAGGTGGTGTTCCCACTGCAGGGTGTGGAGTCTCAGGCGGAGCGTCGCTGCAAGCGTCAGCCTCCCCTGGGTCAGGTGGCTTTCCCAACTCAGGTAGGAGTGGTTCTGCTGCAGGGACCATACAGGCACTGTGGACATCAATGATCTTAGAGGTAATGGATTCCCTGGTCAGTCCAGCGCTGTTGTGGCCAACAACACCTGAATGAGGAGTGACACGAACACAAAAGAGAGCACGCAGCTCAGGAACAGAGTCAAACTCCAGATAAGGATGTAGATGAGCTTCTGGATCAGAAAGGTGAAAGATCATCCTGCTGATAGCAGGGTCCTGGAACTGAAGACTGACAAGGTCATTCATAGAAAAGGCAAGTTGAACAGACACAAAACCATCAGATGGTTGAAAGATGGATGCAGCATCAGGGTGCCACAAGGGTTTGAGGGACCATGGGGTGCCCACATCTTTACCTTGAGTGGCAAGAGGGTCTGTCAAGTTGTTGAGATGACTGTTAAGGAAGTTCACTGGAAGTCAAGTTTCAAAGCTGAGTTTCTGGCCACTGATGTAGCTGGAAAGGTGTTTACCTGTCCACATGGTGGAAAGAGAAAGATTATTGCAATCAGGATATTTTAACACAAGTTGTTGTTTGTCTCGCTTGACTACAGTGGTAGGAGCATCAGCTACGTTAGAGAAATCAACAGAATGTGACTCTGATGAAAGCTGAATCTGTGGTGGCAAAGGTTCTGGGCTAGGTGGTGAACATGTTGTTCCCCCTGGCTCAGAGTTACCAACCGTGAGACAGTGGAGGTCAGGAGGCAGAACGATGGGCAGAGGTTCTTCAACCCATGACCAGAGTTCCCCTCACCACATCAATGAAAGCATCAAGCGCCTCAGAAAGTCCATGCCAAGGGTGACAGGCATCCTTGCATGCTCGGAGATGTACACGGGATGTGTCAGAGTCATGGGACCGATCGAGAAGTGGAGGGCAGAGCTAGAATACAAGATTAAGTCATGAGAGAAAGTCTTGACAGTTACAGAACATGGAATAAGTTCTGGGGGTCTGACGCCCGCTCCAGAAATGCAGATGCGGTCGAACATCGCTCGAGTTATAAGTGTAAAATCTGAACCCGTGTCAAGAAGTGCATTGCAGGATAGATTCTGGGTCAGTTTGACCAACACCAGAGATTTACCAGCTTTCTCCTGGGGCACTAGGTGTCCCAAGAATATTTTGGCAGACTCAACGCCAGGGTGGACAGGAATTTCTTCTGTTGCGGATGAAGTGGTCTCCAGTGTAGCAGGAAAAGGTGGTCCTGTTTCCTGAAGGAGAGAATCAAAAGGATTATCCTCTGTTTGCAGAATTTGTTCTGGAAGCAGATCAACAGAAGAAAGATTTAATTCTTGTACAACATCAGGATCTTGTTCAATTACATCCAGCGTGTTACTCAGAGATGAGACCGTTTCTTCCATGTTTTGGAATTTCTGGTTCGGAGTGGAACACTGCCGCTGCATGTCAGCTTTCCATTCCTCTACCATTCCAATGAGGAAAGAAACCAGATAGTTCTGCTGGTATGACATTGTGATGATGCACTAGAAACCTTATTTTGAGGAATAAGAAATTAGAGAGAAAAGCTTTTAGCTTTTTGAGCCGGGTGAAAAACCCGCCAGTAGATGGCAGCACCGGGCTACAGGAACGTGATTAATGGAGGCGAGGCGCGGTTGCGTCACTCCACTTAATCAGATCCACAAGCGAACTGAGCTATTTTAGCTGAGCTCTGGTTTTTGGCTAAAACACGGCGGTTTTAAGAGCCAAAATGTTTACCTAAAGGGATTTTAATGGAGAAGCAGGCGTCTGCGGCGGGTTTTCCCGCTCGGTTCTGACGTATCAGCTCCTATCTCCGGCACGACAGATCTGTCTAGCTCGTCTGCAAGGCCTAGATTTGAACAGAATCAGGACTTAATAGGTTAGTTTACGTCCAATGGGGACAACCTCTTCGACGGCAACAGACCTGTGCACTGGTTTTCGTTGTCTTAGGCTTGGCTGTGTCAGGTTGGAGGGAATTAAGGTTATTTAAGCGGTTCAGAGTTAATAAAGCGGTAGATATGATGTTTCACAAGGTGCTGTTAGAGTTATATGAAATCTTACTTGTGATTTTACTATATAAAACATAATAATCAACTTCTCCTCCATGTTTGCTAGGAGGTGTACGGAGCATCCTGTCCGCTCATTGGTCAGTGAATGAAACCTCCGTTGATTGGTCCTCGTCCGAGTGACAGCGATGAAAAGTTGAAAATGTTTCAACTTTCTGGGATTGCGTCGCTGGGTCGCCTGTGCACGACACGTGCACGAGCGCAAAATTTCACACGCACGTTTTTCGCGTTTCGCTTGGTAGGAGGGAGACCCGCGATTATCGCTTTGTCGCGCATGTCTCGTTGAAAATGAATGGAGGAGAGGCGATGTCGCCTCCCGTGTGTCGAGCCCATTAGTCACTCAATGAACTGGCTAGCTCGTTAATCATGTCACTTCAGGGGAGTTTTCCAACCATTTTACTTGACATCAAAGCTTTTCATTATGATTTGCGGCATGTAATCATGCTAGCGGAATTAACATTAGCATGTCGGTGCTGTAGCATTTTCCTCTCTCTGAAGTCTGAACTATAACCTTGAAATGTTAATGGTGTGCTGCTGTTGCTGTCTTGCCCTAATGTGATGTTGAGTGACTTACATGAGCGCTGAGCAGGGTTTGCTCATCGATTTAAAGGTTTTGCTGTATCGCCCCTGCCCCCTGACTTGTCAGCAAAGCTGTCGGGGTTAAGGAAGTGGAGGAAGTCCTCTCTTGATAGTTCCTGTGTGTGACAGTGTAGTTCTATATTCATTATTATTTCAGTTTCAGACTAAAAAAACTCATGTACCAACTACACGTGTCGTGATTGTGTTGAGCATGTAGATGTGAACAAATAAAAAAATTTAACTGAAAAAAATAAAATAAACTAAAATGATGGGGGGCTTGTGATTATTTTATAAACGGACCTAACGACGTCAGCGGGCACAACTGTACAAACATCTAATTTCTGAATGATTGTCATTTTCTTGTTTATAACTTATTCTTTTTCCCCTAAAACTTAAAACCTAAAAGGAAAAAAAATCCCAGTAGAAAATAAATTTTAATTTTAAGGGTAAAATTGATGTTGTGATTTAATTCTAACATCGTAAATGTAGCAGACCCCTGATGTAGACTTGCTTCCCTCAAAAAGGTGTTTCTTATGTATCCGTGTAGAAATATGATGGATGAAACTAAACTATAAATAAAAATACATCAAAGTGAAGGCTCTTACTCCTCTCCACCTATTTTAACTCACGAAAATCTTTATTTAGAATTTAGCAGCCGTCCACTTTGTTATTGATAATGAAGATATTGAAGAAAGCATTGAATAATTTTCTTATGAAATCTGTAAAATAAATCTGAACATGTCCTCCTCCCCTTTAGGATCATGGGTCTGTACGCCTCCGTTGTCCTGGTCATTGGGAAGTTCGTTCGTGAGTTCTTCAGTGGCATCTCCCACAACATCATGTTCGAGGAGCTGCCCAACGTGGACCGCATCCTCAAGCTCTGCACCGACATCTTCCTGGTCCGAGAGACGGGTGAGCTGGACCTGGAGGAGGACATGTACTCTAAACTCATTTTCCTTTACCGTTCGCCAGAGACTATGATCAAGTGGACCCGTGAGAAAACTCAGTGAAGGGTGGGAACACCGTGTGGTCGCTTTTACATCTGCTCCCAAAGCAGCAAGTCTGTCCTCCTCAGCTGAGCCCAGGTGACAGAAACTGGTACTTTTTACCAGTTGAAGAGAAAAAGCAACAATAGAGGCAGTCTCATTTATTAAAACTGAGCACAACCTTGCAGCTGCTTTCCTAAGACACGATAAAACTACTGTAAACTTGAGATTTTTAAACCCTTTTGCTGCTCTTCAGACCTCCCAGGTCGAGAGAGGCAGGAAGTGGCTGCAGCATCACTGTTTTAAGGGCTTCCCACTGACTGTTTCGGTGCACAACCAGACGAGCACAAATCAGACTTTCTCCTACTGGAACCTTTGGATCATGGGACGGTGCAATACTGAGGGTCCTCCGAGGGTTTTGAAGGAAGGAAGCACACACACCCATACACACGTATGACCAAGAAACTTTGTTCTTCTAAAGGTCAGGGGCACTCGAAAAGTGGAAAACATGATCTTGCCTTATTTTATTTGTTAGAGGACTATTCTGAATTACACATCTTTCTCAGGAAGAGCTGTTTTCACAGATATTCATTGTATTTATCACCACATGTAGGCTTTGGTGGATCTAACAGAGGATTGTAGAAAAGGTAGAAACTATTTAAATGGCATGAAGCATACTGTTGGTGTTCAGGTGGGCTGTTTACTGCACATGGGTGTTTTTTCTGCTGCAGAGTTCTGCCAACCAAGCACATCCATCCTGAATCATCATCATTAGGTGGTAGACTCCACTTCATTTTGATTTAGACATTAAAAATCAAAAGCTGTGATTCTCACAGTCATGCATCCAGAAGAGTTTATAAAAAGAAGAAAGGCTTCCTCAGACGAAGGGCTGACACAACACGCCCTTTGGACCAAACTATGCATTAGAGGACATTTTAGCATGATTTTGCCATGACTAACTTTCGGTTCATGTACATATTAATGAGAGCAGATCGTGGAAGAATGAAATGTGAAACTGTGCCTGTATATTAAAGCGATGTGATAATAATTGGAGATTACCAGATGTGCAAATAAAATGTCTTGAAAGGTGTGAAGTTGTTGCTCTGCTGTTTGAAGACTCAGCTGCTTTATTTTGTCTGATTATGATGGAAAACAGCTGCAGACTACAGCCCTCCACTTCTCTCCAGATAAGCAGATTCTTTAATACATTTAAGGATTTTGGATGTATTTAATTTATTTCATGAGTTACAAATACAGTTTAAAGAATCTCTATCCATTTTCGGCTGCTTATTCGAAGTCTGGTTGCGGGGGCAGCAGCCTAAGCCGAGAGGTCCAGACTTCCCTCTCCCCAGCTACTTGGGCCAGCTTTTCCGGTGAAATACTAAAGTGCTCCCTGGCCAGCTGAGAGACATAGTCCCTCCAGTGTGTCCTTCCTTTAGGTCTCTTCCCAGTTGGGCGTGCCCGGAAAACCTCACCAGGGAGGTGTCCAGGAGGCATCCTAACTAGATGCCCGAAACACCTCAACTGGCTCCTATCGATGTGGAGGAGAAGCGGGTCTACTTCAAGCCCCTCCCTGATGACTGAGCATCTAATCCTATCTCTAAGGGAGAGCCCAGCCACCCTGCGGAGAAATCTCAATTTCAGGCGCTTGTATCCACAATCTTGTTCTTTCGGTGACTACCTAAAGCTCATGACCATAGGTGAGGGTTGGAATGTAGATCGACCGGTAAATCGAGAGCTTTGCCTTCTGGCTCAGCTCTCTCTTCACCACGACAGACCGGTACAACGCAGATGCAGCACTGATCCGCTTATCAATCTCATGCTCCAGCTTTCCCTCACCCGTGAACAAGACTCTAAGATACGTAGACTCCTCCACTTGGGGCAGGACCTTATCCCTGACCCAGAGAAGGCATTCTACCCTTTTCCGTTTCAAGACCATGGTCTCTGATTTAGAGGAGCTGATTCTCATCCATGCTGCTTCCCACTCTGCTGCAAACTGCTCCAGCGAGAGCCGGAGATCACGTTCTGATGAAGCCAACAGGACCACATCATCTGTAGAAAGCAGAGACTTGGTCCTTAGGCCACCAAAACGGATGACCTCAACATCTTCGCTGCTCCTACAAATCCTGTCAATAAAGGTTATGAACAGAATCGGTGATAAAGAGCTGGGGACTCCATTGTCCTGCTGGGGGGACTTCAATGCTCATGTTGGCAATGATGGTGTGACATGGAGTGACGTGATTGGAAGAACGGGCTGCCCAATCTGAACTCGAGTGGTATTCTGTTATTGGACTTCTGCGCAAGTCACAGTTTGGCCATAACAAACACCATGTTAAAACATGAGGATACCCATCAGTATACCTGGTACCAGGGCAGCCTAGGTTACAGCTCAGTGATTGACTTTGCAGTTGTATCATCTGGCCTGAGATTGTATGTTTTGGACACTCAAGTAAAGAGAGGAGAGGAGCTGTAAACTGATCACCACCTGGTCGTGAGCTGGATCAGATGGCAGGGGAACAGTGGCCGTTTTACCATTAGGCATAGGTCAGCGGCTGCCTGGGGCCCCCTTATGTAAGGAGGACCCCTAGCCCTGACCGCCGGCACCCCTCTGTTAATGCTGCAGTGGACTATTCCTTTAAGACGCCAATGCACAAACAGGAAGCGATTGGTAGTCATACCACTCCAATCCAGTTGTTGGTGGTAATGCACCAAATTATTATTTGCCAAGTGCCATAAGGCCACAAATAAGAATAGGAAGAGAGGCGGGAGCATTATTAACAAACTTGAAGCAGTGGTCAAAACATTAAGCATGAAATGGAGTTATCCTATTGGCTCCAATAAGAGAAAGAAACGGCTAGCTTAAAAAAAGCTTTTATCTTCACTTCCGAAAGTGACATTGTTTTTCAATGTAAACATCAAAAGGAAGCAGAAGGGAAAGACAATGGAAAATGTTTAAAGGGAGTAAAACATAGACCAAAATGGAAAATAGAAAAAAAATAAAGGCAAAAGCACAGGAGAACTGACAGGAAGAAGAAAGCAGAGCAAATATCGAAAGCACTCAAAGGGAGGGAAAGACAGGAAAAAAGAGGAGGACTAATAAAAAGGGAAAATAACTCATGGCAGAAGACGGGAGAGTTTTGCAAATCCAGTTAAAAGTAAGATTGCCGAAATTTCGTGTAAGGGGGCCCCATGTCTGTGTTCACCTTGGGCCCCCAAATAGCTAAATCTGTCACTGCAGGGGAAGATGCTGTGAAGACCAGGTAGACCCAAACGTATTGTGGGGGTCTGCTGGGAATTCCTGGCAGATGAACCTGTCCAGATGATCTTCAACTCCCACCTCCAGCAGAGCTTTGACCACGTCTTGAGAGCAGTGGTGGACATTGAGTCTGAACGGGCCTTGTTCTGCTCTGCAATTGTCGAGGCAGCTGTTGCTAGCTGTGGTCGCAAGGTGGCCGGTGCCAGTCGTGGCAGTAACCCCCGTATCTGCTTGTGGACACCATAGGTTAGGGGAGCTGTCAAGCTGAAGAAGGAGGCCTACAGGGTGTGGCTGGTCTGTGGGTCTCCAGAGGCAGCAGACGGGTACCGGAGGGCCAAGCGGGGTGCAGCAGTGGCAGTTTCTGAGGCAAAATCTCGAGCGTGGGAGGAGTTTGGCGAGCCCATGGAGAAAGACTATCGATCGGCTCCAAAAAGGTTCTGGCAAACCATTCGGTGCCTCAGGGGAGGAAGGCAGCAACTTGCTCACACTGTTAATAGTGGGGATGAGGAGCTGGTGACGTCCACTGGGGCTATAGTCAGGCGGTACAAAGAATACTTTGAGGAGCTTCTCAATTCCACCGACACGCATTCTGAGGAGGAACCAGAGCTGGGAGACCTGGGTATGGACTGTCCAATCTCTGTGGCAAAAGTCGCTGAGGTAGTTAAAAAACTAAGCAGCAGTAGAGCCCCTGGAGTGGATGAGATCTGACCTGGGTATCTTAAGGCTTTCGATGTTGTAGGACCGTCTTGGTTGACACGTCTCTGCAACATTGTGTGGTCATCGGGGGTAGTTCCTGTGGAGTGGCAGACCGCCACCCCGGTCTGCCACTCCACATTTGTGGCATTTCAAAATAAAGTGCAATCAAAATTGTCAATAATGACAATTTTCACCATATTCAATGGTTAATTTCTCAAAGGGTTAGGGTTAGGATTAGGGTTATGCCACATCAGATCTTTATGAAAGTTGGGGAGGATGTAGTACTCGATGTATACTTCTGGACTGATGTGGAATGATGTTTCGCAATCACAGTTTTTGAGAAATTAACCATTGAATATGGTGAAAATTGTCATTGACAACTTTGATTGAACTTTATTTTGAAATGCCACATCAGATCCTTATGAAGGTCGGTGAGGATGTAGTAGTCGATGTGTACTCCCGGAGTGATGTGGAATAATGTTGCGTAATCAGACAGTTTTTGAGAAATTAACCATTGAACATGGTGAAAATTGTCATTATTGACTAATTCGATTGCACTTTATTTTGAAATGCCACATCAGATCCTTATGAAAGTCGATGAAGATGTAGCAGTCAATGTGTACTTCCGGACTGATGTGGAATGATGTTTCGCAATCAGACAGTTTTTGATAAATTAACCATTGAATATGGTGAAAATTGTCATAATTGACTAATTTGATTGCACTTTATTTTGAAATGCCACATCAGATCCTTATGAAAGTCGATGAAGATGTACCAGTCAATGTGTACTTCCGGGCTGATGTGGAATGATGTTTCGCAATCAGACAGTTTCTGATAAATTAACCATTGAATATGGTGAAAATTGTCATTATTGACTACTTTGATTGCACTTTATTTTGAAATGCTACATCAGATTATGAAAGTCGGGGAGGTTGTCGTACTTGATGTGTATTTCCGGACTGATGTGGAATGATGTTTCGCAATCAGACAGTTTTTCAGAAATTAACCATTGAATATGGTGAAAATTGTCATTATTAACAACTTTGCACTTTATTTTGAAATGCCACATCAGATCTTTAAATCGTGTCCATTCTTTTAATTAAAAGTATTTTTAAAATAGACAATCATTAACAACGTAGTTTTTCTTGCACGCAATGTTACAGAAAATTTTATTTAAATCGTTTTCATTCTTTTTCTTAAAAGTATTTTTTTAATAGATAAAATTATTTAAAACGCAGTTTTCTCTTAGACAAAATTTAACACATACAGAAAAAGTGTTCATTAACACGTTCAGACACACATCCTAGAAGTGCGCTTTTATTTTGAAAGACACTCGAACGAGGACACCGTAATTTCTCTTGTAGTTACGCCTGTAAAAATCGAAGGAGGGCTGGGTTGACAGTCGTTTCCGAACGGAGGGCTGGCTTGATGGCAGTAACACTGACAACAATGTACAGAAACTGGAACCAACATGCATAAACAAACAGATCGGTCCCGCCAACTTACACTGTTGTTCTTTTTTAAATACGCAGTAATTGTTGCTTGCCTTTTTCGCTTCATCCTGCATCCTAGCAGCAACCACTTTGGCGCCTCTGGAGTCGGTGTTTGTTTACGTCATGCTGCATTCAGTGCAATTGGGAAAAGGACTTCAAGCGCTTATAACCTCCGATTTAGTTTTCTTTCTGGCCTTAGTGCGGGGGACGGATCGGGGTCGATCTGAATTTGGGGGGAGGGACAGATTCCCCTCGTCCCCCACCTTATCTGCGCGCCTGGCAGCAGGTGATGGCGGTGTTTGAAACACTCCCAGCAGGACAGGGGAGCTCATTCCTGGGTCGGAGCCGCTCGGCCCACAGCAGATTGTCACAGGCTCCAGCAGGTGACGGTGGGGTAGAGGAGTTGAAAACTGGATCGGAGCCAGCCCACAGCAGCGCGCCACGGTCTCCAGCAGGTGATGGCGAGGCAGAGGAGCTTATTCCTGGTCTGGAGCCGGTCCGCAGCAGCACGGTATACATAATTTGGTATTTAAGTCGCTCTGGAGTATAAGTCGCAGGACCAGCCAGACTATGACAAAAAGTGTGACTTATAGTCCGGAAAATACTGTATATAAAAAGCACTAAGATACCATACACATTTGTCTTTGTGTGTAGCTCAATCTGTTAGCTATGTGACTTACAGTGTGGAAGGCATGAGTTCAAACCGTATGGCAGACTGATCAGCCTTTTGCGAACAAACAATATAAATGACTAAATATCCAACCAGAACACTTTAAAGCGTGAAGGGTGCAGGTGGCCAAGTGGTATTCTTGCTCGTAAGTCACCAGCAGCTGGTTTGAATCCAGCTCAGTGGGGTGGCACCTGGGGCAGCACATGCCACCCCAGGTACCACCATCTAAATTGACTTTACACCAGGGCTATTCAATTCCAGGCCTCAAGGGCCAGTATCCAGGACAGTTTAATGGTTCTCTGGTCCAGCATACTAGATTCAATGGTTGAATTACCTGTGCAGCGGCTTATCAGGCTCTGCAGAAGCCTGTTACTCACCCACTGATTGAAATCAGGTGTGTTGAAGTGGGGTTAAAACCAAACATTCTGGACACCAGCCCTCGAGGGCCGGAATTGAATAGCCCTGCTTTACACATTTCACAAAAGTCTTGGGATTATAAATTCCATACGGTAGGTGGCAGCATTATCATTAGTCCTAATTACTTTTTCAAATAGCCATAATTAGTATTTAGAATCCTGGTCCCATTTCCACTTCAATCCAGTTGGTGGTGATAATGCCCCAAGAAGTGGCTTGCTAACTACCACAAATCAGCTTGAAGAAAAAAAAATTGGTCATGGCACAATGGTACTCAAAACTCCCTAAAATAACCTATGGTTACGCTTTTTTCCATTTATTTTCTTTTATTAAGGTAGGGGAGGTGTCACTCCCCACAAAAGCATTCCTTTTTTTTTCATTCTAGTGAGTTTTTGAACTGCCATGACCACATTTTTCTTCTTCTTCAAGCTGATTTGTGGTATTTAGCAAGCCACTTCTTGGTGCATTATCGTCACCAACTGGAGTGGAGTGGAAATGGGACAATGATGAAGCAATAATGCTGCCACCTACTGTTAGAGGTTTATAATTCCAAGACTTTTGTGGACAATGTAAATTCAGTTGAAAAGGAGCTCAATGGGGTGGCTAGATTTGAAGTGAGGAGGATGAGAGTTCAAACCCTATAACTGACTGAGCACTTTTGGTGCAAACAACAAAAATGACATGTTTAAATGTCACACCCGAACACTTCAGAGTGTGAAGGGTGATGGTGGCCAAATGGGATTCACATTCATAAGTTGCCAGTTACTGGTTTGAATCCCGCTCAAGTGCGTTTCCATGGAGCGGCCTGGGGTAGCACTTGCCACTCTGGGAATCAGATTGACCACCCCACTGAATTCCCTTTGGATACTTTACATTGTCCATAAAAGACTTGGTGTAAAAAAAAAAAAAAAGCTCAACATAGGTGCCATCCATGCACAAAGAAGTGCCCCACCTGGGCCACCCTATTTTAAAAGGTCTGGACACGCCAACGTTCTCAGTTTTACCTGCATTTTCTGTTTGCTAAATACAACTTTCAGATCATTTTATCTTGTTCACATTCCTTTTATCACAAACATTCCACCAAATCCAGTTATTTTATACACATCGTGGAATGAGGTAGTGGAAAATGCAGCCCAGAAAAATAAAATAAAATCATGAAACTTTTAGAAAGTTGGACTCCTCGGAAGCCAAATGTATAGATTTTCCCATGAGCTCCACTCTTGTACCCAAGCTCACTTTCCTCCTCGTGCAGTTATTTAGAATGAAAGGCATCACAAAAAAGCGCACGTGCACATTAAAAATCTCCTAACAGAGAGAATGCATTAGCCTGATCAAAGATGGGTGTGTCTTAGGAAGTGCCACAGTCATCACACGTCTGTCTGAGGCCGTCTTGAGCTGCTGTTGACTCCCTGACATGGAAACTGACAAGGAAACGTATGCACAAGTGTGGAACAAGGGAAATGTTTATTGATGCATGTGCAAAGTTTGGACTTTAGGTATTGGTTTTAAAGCAGGCTGATTTTATCACAAACAAGGAAATCATGGTCCCTTTTGCTTAAAAAAACCAAACTAACTAAAATGTGTAAACAAGGACACATTCAAGATGTTTATTTTAGGGTAGCACACACCTTGAGGTAGACAAACAAAATCCATCTACATTGAGCTAAAATCATAATTAATTTCATCTGTTATAGTTTTGATTTGACCCTTTTATTATCTGAAACATGCATTCCCAGTATGTTTGCATATTTGCTCCACTAAAGTCTTAAATAGCCATGAATACTGAATAAATTAACTGTACAAATAAACACTTGTACACTGATGAGGTCATCAGACACATTCAGTGCTGATCATTTGAACATATCTAAAGTAATGTTGCGATTTACCCACAAACAGTAACAGCACTATGTACAGCTTCACTGAGACAACAAACAACAGAGCAGGCGGAGCGGCCACCTCAAAGAATAACAATAAGGGCTTAATATCGATTAATCTGACCCAAATGACCTGTTGGGATTATTGTTTCATTTTCTTGCACATGTAGGATCAAACAGCCATTTTTCAAGCCACATGCTGAGGGGGTGTGGTCTGAAAGATGAAGGCTAACACAGCCCTCCTTCATACTCATCCTCATCCTCCTCTTTAGCAGCTGGTGCCCCACTGGCGCCCCCTTGTGGAGCAGCAGCCGCCTTTTTCTTCTTTCCTCCTCCTGGGACCTTCAGCGAGATGGCCAGTTTGGCATACTGAGAAGAACCATTTAACAAATGGGAGGTTTGTTTAGTCTCATTTGAGTAAGGAAAAAAAATCATAAACTACAACTTTACAAGCAACATTTGGAAAAGGTACGGGAATGTATTATGGTTGAGGTGGAAGTCTCCGTTTCCCACTTTTGAGGTAAAACACTAGAAAGAACCGAAAAACTTAAAATAAATACCAGAACAAGGTCAAACCTGAGAATAATAGATGTGCTTTAAATGCATAAACTTCTACTTCTATTTTAATACTTTTAAACGTCTGGCTTTAGGGCTGCATGGTGGAGCGGTTAGTAGCTCGAAGGCTGCGGGTTCGAATCCCAGTTGTAGCCATTCTGTGTAGTAGCATGTTCTCCCCATGCAAGCATATGGGTTTCCTCCCACAAACCAAAAACATGCATGTCATGTTAATTACAGACAAAGTGACTGGTGGCTTGTCTCTGTGTGTCCCTGTGATGGACTGGAGACCTGTCCAGGGTCTCTGGCTCGAGAACTGCTGGAGATGGACGCCAGCTCCTCACAACCTTACTGAGGAAAATCAGTTATGATAATGAGTGACGAGTGGGTGCAAAACTCCTGAACTATCATCGATCACAACATTGGCTCTTGCAGGACTTCCAACAGCCTTTCACAGTAAGAGTCTCAGACATACCTCATTACTCACAAAAACCCTGTAAGCTTGTAAATAAACTCATGCTGCAGCATCAATCAGAAAAGTAGAGGAGTTCTTTACATCTCAAGTACAGCTCGGGATAGTAAATATACCAAATCATCATTTAATTAAAACTTGTTGTGAAGTACAAAGTGAACTTGGATCAGAAAAAGGATCAGGGGGGCTCTTGTGTGTTTGTGCCAGTGCTAGTTTTGCTTTAGATTTTCTTTTATAATCTTCAAATTTATAATCTTATTTATAAATTATGAATATAAAAATGTATAATCTTCATACAATTACTTTAATTTCCTCAACATTTAAATTGAATCTCAAAACTGGGAAACAAATAAAAACAAAAAAAAAAAAATCTATTTATTCTTTCCAGGCTCAAATTTCTCATCACAGAGAGGTCACGGTCCTGCAAAACTAATAAAAACTTTCACAGAAACAAAATATAACAAGTTTAAAATAGGGATGTCCCGATCAGGTTTTTTTGCCCTCAAGTCCGAGTCATTTGATTTTGAGAATCTGCCGATACAGAGTCCCGATCCGATACTTTCGATTCATTTAAAAAAAAAGAAAGAAAAGGAAGAAACTGTTGCAGAATGTTCCTTATTGTTTATTTAATTACCTTTTTATATTAATTTTTAACAACAGATCACTTCTGTGAGGTAGCTTGAACAATCAAGTAATAAATAACATAAATCTTCACTTTTGGACTTCATTGCAAATATAAAAAGTCTCATATAAAAACAGATAGCACTTCAACTTAAAATACCTGGCAGGGGTTTATTTTGCCTCGGCCCCCAAAATGCTTAGATACGTCCCTGGGCATGGGACGGAGTTTTGAAGATGATCTGAATTGTATCAGCTATATAAATACTACATGCTGATAAATTATTGCTTCACACAGGTACAACCGTGTAGTGGGACAAATCTACCTACATTTTATTTTTTTAAGAACTTTGTTTTGTTTTCTTGGTTTTTATTTTCCTTTCTTCCTGTCCCGTCTGTCTCTGATCTTCCTCCAGAAAAAACTCCTGCCTGCTTCCTTCGTTTTCATCTCACAAGTAACTTTTTAATTAGCAGATCAAATTGATCTACTGACCGCAAAAAAGCGGAGTGTGCGCCGTGCTGCCCGGCTGCGCCAGTGACGAGCGCTGCAGCTGCAGCGCGAGCACGTCCACACGTCATGCTCAAATACAGACAGAACTTACCAGAGAGAAAATGAACGGACACGAATGACTGTGTGTTAATGATACATTTTTTGGTGACGCCACTTAGAAACTTAGAAAATGTTACTGTGGCCGTGTGCAGAACGCAGCTGGAGTTCATGAATAATCAGCAATCTGCCTGCCGCTCTCTGCATCTCTGCTCAAAGAATCCCCGCTACGCTGAGTCCATATAAATAATATAAAATAGGTAGAAACTGGATGTTTTTGTGCTCCTTCTGGCTGTGTAAGTTAAGGGCATCAGGGAAGCCTGACAACCTTTAAGGAGAACCAAGTTGCCCTCCTCTAATTTGAACCCAGTATCCAAGTCCGGATCGGGGCTTGGATCGGGAAGTAAAGCACGAGTCCCGATCAGTCTGAAACCACGTGATCGGGGCCGATTTCCGATCATGTGATCGGATCAGGACATCCCTAGTTTAAAACTTGGCTGCAGGTCTCTGATCCAAAGAACCTTGACCAAAATTATCAAACTAAAAAGAAAGTATTTTGTATTACTCACATCATTGTCCATGTACTTGAGTAAAGGTGAGTTGCACACCCGGTAAACCTGATCCTCGTCCTGCTCATCGTAGCCCTGCAGTAGCGTCTCCATGGCAACACAGTCCTCACTCCCGCTGTATCCAGGCAGACTTGAAGAAATTACCGGTAACGTGTGATTTACGGTAAGTGGAAGCAGCCAGACTGAAACACATTCTGAGGGGGAAGCAGGAGGTTCGGAGTCCTACCTGTAACTTTCTCTGACACATTTATCAGCTGCAACGTAGTCGCCTCTGTGGAGATGAACCAGGACCTGAGCGGTTGTTTTCTAACAAAACAGAGTACAAAACGTCTTATTTCTGGTCTGAGATCACAGTTTTGGAACATCATACTAAGGAGTGATCAATGTGTTTGATGAACCAGCCAGCAGATTAATTTCTGACTTTTAGCCACAAGTCAACAGGAAGTTTTAAATGTTATTAAATGTGCAAAACAACTCACTTTAAAACACATTGGAAAGTTTTCAATCTCTTTGTACATGTTCTTCTCCTTCTGCAGGGCGACTGCAGCTTCATCCAGCCTGATCAGGGAGAGAAGAGGGGGGAGCAGGGCGATTCAGAACAGGTACTGTGACTGAATTTTAGGAGGGAAACCTTCAACATGCCATCAGTCTGTCTCCTTTACCTTTTTAACCTGACCAAGAGTCTGGAGGCTTTTCCCAGCAGCTCCACGGCCTGACGTAGACGGTCTTCGTTCTGCAGATGATAAACAGAAAGACATGTCGACTACTTGGAAAACAAAAACAGTAGAGGAGGAAAATATTTGATTCTCACCTCAAACACACCAGCTGCTTTCTGATAAAGATCAACAGCTTTCTCCAGGTTTAAAGGCTCTATCAGTCTGAGGACATAAGATACTTTATTCAGGTGAAATTAAAGAGAAAACATCAGAAAACACAAATCTACTTTAAGTATCTGAGCAAATAAGGTGGGAATTCATGTATTTATTTATTTTTTACTTTCCCGCCCGGTCCAGAGCCATAGCAGCTGTATCAGGAGTCCCATTCTCCATGTACATCATGCAGGCTTTCTCTATATACTGGATGGCCTCTGGCATTTTCTTTTGTTCCTGTTGAAACAGAAACCCGGACACGTTAGTTACAGATGCATCACTTCTTATGGGCCATTCCCATCTGTACCGGGTTGGCCCGGGCCGGGTAGCCCCAGTCTGGCCCGGTTGATTCCACACATCCTTGTCTTAAGCCCATGTGGGCTGATTCTACCCACCAATCAGAGGCTTGCTCTAATGGAAGGTGTGAATTTGTTGTCAGCAGTGGGTGTGTTGGCCCTGGTCGGCCTGAAGCAGACCCCCTCGAGAAGAGGGCTGAGAATGAGCCTTGGTTGGCCCGGAAAAATACCAGGCCACCCAGATATGTAAATAACCTACACTACCCGGCCCGGGCCGACCCGGTACAGATGGGAATGGCCCACCCATTAGATTCTCACAGCAGCTACGCTCACCTTCATCATCATGCCTGCCTGTTCGATGGCCCTGAGGAAGAAGAGGAAAGTTAGAAATAAACACTTTTCTATTTGCAGCTCATTAAAAAAAATCTGATTTCATAAAAAAAGATACTTACTTTGCAGCATGAAAAAGGCTAAAGGTCACGTCAAGGAAAAAGTAATACCAAAAAGCAGCCTGATGTAAAACAAATGCCCTAATGTTTTAGTTTACAATCTGATATTGTATGACTTCAGTTTTTAAACATGAATTCAAAAGAAAAATCTGTTTATACACACACACACACACACACACACACACACACACCTAAAGGATTATTAGGAACACCTGCTCAACTTCTCCTTAATGGAATTATCTAATCAACCAGTCACATGGCAGTTGCTTCAATGCATTTAGGGGTGTGGTCCTGGTTAAGACAATCTCCTGAACTCCAAACTGAAGTTCAGAATGGGAAAGAAAGGGGATTTAAGCTATTTTGAGGATGGCATGGTTGTTGGTGCCAGACGGGCCGGTCTGAGTGATTCACAATCTGCTCACTTACTGGGATTTTCACCCACAACCATTTCTAGGGTTTACAAAGAATGGTGTGAAAAGGGAAAAACATCCAGTATGCAGCAGTCCTGTGGGCAAAAATGCCTTGTTGATGCTAGAGGTCAGAGGAGAGTGGGCCGACTGATTCAAGCTGATAGAAGAGCAACTTTGACTGAAATAACCACTCGTTACAACCGAGGAATGCAGCAAAGCATGGGCTACAACAGCAGAAGACCCCACCGGGTACCACTCATCTCCACTACAAATAGGAAAAAGAGGCTACAATTTGCACGAGCTCACCAAAATTGGACAGTTGAAGAATGGAAAAATGTCTGGTCTGATGAGTCTCGATTTCTGTTGAGACATTCAAATGGTAGAGTCAGAATTTGGCGTAAACAATGAAAACATGGATCCATCATGCCTTGTTACCACTGTGCAGGCTGGTGGTGGTGGTGTCATGGTGTGGGGGATGTTTTCTTGGCACACCTTAGGCCCCTTAGTGCCAACTGGGTATGGTTTAAATGCCACAGGCTACCTGAGCATTGTTTCTGACCATGTCCATCCCTTCATGACCACCATGTACTTCATCCTATGATGGCTACTTCCAGCAGGATAATGCTCCATGTCATAAAGCTCCAATCATTTCAAATTGGTTTCTTGAACATGACACTGAGTTCACTGTACTACTATGGCCCCCACAGTCACCAGATCTCAACCCGATAGAGCATCTTTGGGATGTGGTAGAACGGGAGCTTCGTGCCATGGAGGTGCATCCCACAAATCTCCATCAACTGCAAGATGCTATCGTATCAAAATGGGCCAACATTTCTAAAGAACGCTTTCAGCACCTTGTTGAATCAATGCCAGGTAGAATTAAGGCAGTTCTGAAAGCGAAAGGGGGCCAAACTTCGTATTAGTATGGTGTTCCTAATAATCCTTTAGGTGAGTGTGTGTAATATACATATATATATATATATATATATATATATATATATATATATATATATATATATATATATATATATATACACATACACATACATATATGTGTGTGTGTATGTATATATATATATATATATATATATATATATATATATATATATATATATATATATACATACACATACACATACATATATGTGTGTGTGTATGTATATATATATACATATATATATATATATATCCAAGTCCAAGAAAAGCAAATGACAGGCCTTAAGAAAGTCTAGAAGAATCTGATTCTGTATGAATAACTGACGGTTGTTACAGTATGGATACGTTTTGTTTTCTGTGTGGTACTCTGCCTCCTTCAGGTAAGCATCCTTTGCTTGTTCATACTGCTTTGCATTCTTGAAGCACACAGCTACAAACACAAAATCATCCAGATTAAAACGGCTAAGCAGCATTTCTGTGAAGCTTCCAGCTCGTCTGACGAAGAAACGATGATCTACGTTACCTGCTTTGGCGTACTCAGATGCAGCACTGTCAAAATCAGGTTTCCACTTCGTCAGGCTTGTCTTTAGGCTGCAAAAACAAAAGGTTGAAAGAGACAGAAAACAATGTTACAGAGGAAAAACGCTCAAGTTTAACTTGTGTTTGTGTCTCATGATCTTTTCATGAAGATGCTACATATCGGCCTAAAATCAGAACGAGTGCAGAGGGGACGTTTCCTCCGCGATAAAAAAGCGACATTTCCGCTGTTTCTCACCATTTTTCCGCTTTAGCGATGTGTTCGTGGGCTTCGTTTATCTTCTGAGCAGCCATTTGAAGTTATTTATTGAAGTTATTTATTAAATTTGTAATCGTTAATAGCTGTGAGTCGTCGATGTTTGGATTAACCAGGAACTACTCCTCGGGCGCTACGTCATCCGATGTTGCAGGCTACGGATACCGAGAAGGACAAACTGCGTGGTGCAACGAAAATTGTTATTGCGTTTTCAGAATTTAGATACAGTTGTATCTAAACAACAAGTTGAATTCATGGCAAGAATGTTTAGTTCACTAGACTCGTGTTCCACAGTTTTTTTCTCAGTCCACATTCATGAAGAAATATTTAATTAAGAAACTTCAACAATTAAAACAGAAGAAGGCACAACAGACCCTTTCACTAAATATTCTTAAATAAAACTTTGCAAAGAGCTGGTTAAATTTATATATTTGCTACTGACAGTTTAAACAAGATCAAGCCAAATCCTCAAGTAGAAAAAAATGATTTTAGTAAAATATTCATGTTCATGTTGTTTTTGAGCTTAAATGCTTACCAATTAAATACTTACCAAACGTCACATAACGAAAGGGTGTGTTTGTTTTATAGGAATTATCATAAAATATATGAAATTTTTTGACAAATGTAAAATTCCCACTGCAACAGTTTGAAAAGCGTATCCATTGCTTGTTTTCTTCTTCTTCTTCTTCTTCTTGTTTGAAATCGTGATCCTGTTTGTCTTTATTGTTAGTCGGTTTATTATTCTGCTTTCGTACGTTTTTTGGCATTTAACTATTTCCACAATTCTTCAACTATTTACACAATTTTGGTATCAAAACGTTCAGCTCGTTCAGCTTATGGCGGCAAAGACTTTTGGTATTAAAATATTTTATACTTTCTGAGATATTCAGCTTTTTCTGCGATTTTTGGTCCCATTGAAATGAATGGGATTGCTCAATTTTCAGCTAAATCCTATCACTTATTTGAACTCTTATAGGTTAACTTTAACCTAGAGACTTCATTCAAGTTTCAACAAACTCACAAGACCTTCAGCTATTACTGGTTAACAAATCTTTTACATATCTGTTACAGTTTTTCTAAAATCACAGGTAGAAGTTGAGGTACGGCTTGAGATTTAAAAAAAAAATCTCAAAAATTATAAATGGCAGAGATAGGAGCAATGACCCTCCTTTGCTCCATTTCTGGCATTGTCCTGAGAAAACGGTAAGTCCGATTGAAATGATACACACGCTGGCTTGCAGCTAACGGATATGCCTTCGTTTTGAGCTATAAATCGTGAATGTACTCCAAACGTTGTGGTCGTAAGGTTCATTTGTTTGAGAATATTTAAATTTAAAAGAATGTCTCTCACCAATCTAAACTGAAAATTCCGCACTCTAACTTTTGACCTTCACATTTTCTGGAAACAACTCTTTCCAACACCCAGACCGTTTGGAGTACGGAAACAAATTATATCTCAAAAAGTAGGGTTTTTTTTAATCTGCTTTTCAGAATGGGTTTCATTTTATCTTTAAGTGTTAGTTATTTCTCTACAAGTCTCAGAAGGAGGAGAGACCCTGATTTTGTCTCATTGAAACCCATGTTAAAGGAACAGAGATGTTCTCCTCCGATCGCCTTCAGACAGCTAAAATTTTCTCGTCATAGCTTCTAGACAATTCATGGTAGGCACATAAAAATTCATACAGATGACCATCAAAGCCTTCTGCCGCTCATTCTTTTGGAATTTTTCCAGTCGGTGCAGTACTTTTCGAATGGTGATGAGAAGTTTGACAGGTCCAATTTAACTTCTGAAGGACAGATTTAAAGGCTTCTCTCATTAACAGGAGTACAGCTGCAGGCCTCCTACAGCCAGGGGTAAAGGCGGGAAAACAGTGCTGCTCTCTGATTGGTTGAGAGTGTTCAACCATTTTCTGTCCAAGCAGGATCGAGCACCCACACATATGACACATCAAATCGACCAGATTGGTCTCAGGAATCTTGTATTCAATTTTAAATTTGTTATCTGTTACCATGGTAGCACAAGTGCATAAGTATATCCCCAAACAAGTCTTATTGAAATAAATGTGAAAAGCCTAATATTGAGCCTATAGAGCTCTGGACACCACGTGACTCTCAGTTAGTAGACGCCATATTGGCAGGTAAAAGAAGCTAAACAAACACGGATCTTAACCATGAACGTGAACGGGATCGGCTTGGATTTTACTTCGTCGGAGTTTACTTCACACTTTAAAACAGAAGAAATAGTTTTATATAGTCAGAAATTAAATAGACTAAACATCTCCGACCCTTACCGTGCCCCTGGGATACTTTTTAAAAATGCCAGAAGCTGTCGGAGCGCTCTTCCTTCTTCCATCTCAGGAACATTGCTAAGCTGAGTCCCATTCTGTCCCGCTCTGAACTTGAGACAGTTATCCACACCTTCATCGCCTCACGCTTAGACTACTGTAACTCTCTTTTCACGTGTCTGAGAAGAACCTCCCTGAACCGTCTACAGGTGGTTCAGAATGCCTGTGCTCGGCTTCTGACCAAGTCCTCCAAATATACCCACATCACCCCGCTTCTCCTCCAGCTTCACTGGCTGCCTGTCAACTCCAGGGTTCATTTCAAGATCCTGGTTCTGGTCTATAGGGCCCTACATGGACAAGCACCATCTTACATTGGTGATCTTCTTAGTCCCTACACCCCCAGCAGGTCCCTGAGGTCCAGTGACCAAAGCCTACTGGTTGTGCAGCGCACCAGGCTAAAGACCAAAGGTGACAGATCATTTGCTGCTGTGGCCCCCAGACTCTGGAACTCTCTCCCCCTGAGCCTGAGATCAGTGGACTCAGTGGTCTCCTTTAAAAAGCAGCTGAAGACTCACTTGTTCAAGCTGGCTTTTGGATGACCTTCTTCACCACTCTCTCTTTATTCTGCTCTCGCCACCTATTCCACCTTCCTCAGGATCCACTGATTTCCCTCTTTCCTGTTCACTCCCTCTCTTTCTTAACATTTTTTCTTTTAAATCGCAACAACTTATTCTTGCTCATTTTAAATATATTTGAAACATTTTCGAAATGCTTTTTTATATTTTTACAAGTTTTATATTTTTTGTTTTTGTGAAGCGGCTCGTGATTTTTATCTTGAGAGGCGCTATAGAAATGATATTTTCTTCTTCTTCTCCTTCTACTTCTTACCGGACCTGGCCGGGGAACCCCTTGGGATTTACCCGGAGGAGCTGGCTCAGGCGGTTGGGGAGAGGGAAGTCTGTGCCTCTCGACGCTACTGCCCCCGCAACCCGACTCCGGATAAGCGGATGAAAATGGATGGATGGACAAATAACAGATTTACACGTAAGTAGTTTAAATAGAGTGCTGTGCTGTTTGAATGTATAAACTGAACGCCAAGAGAAATCACTAGTTTGATTGTTTTCCGTGAATAAAATAAATATGTCAGGCAGGAGCGTCTCAGGATCTGTCTGAGAGCTGTCTCGGTGAGACAGATAATAGCAATCCAAAGTGCTTTTTATGTGTGATCTGACAATTGATCAACCATTGCTTAAAAATTAAATACAGCTTAGGCGGTTAATTGCTGTGATCATAAAACACGTAAACGGCAGCTCGCAGAACTCACGAGGCAACGTTTTACGTGATGTTTACTTGCTGCTATGAGTAATAAGACAGAAAAAGCCACGCCAAAATAAGTTTAGGAAGCCCACTAAGAATCGTAATAAAAGCATTTAAAATAAATACCATACACAGTTGAGGAAACGTTGGTTTAAGTACCTGAAATGAAGTGGTCGCTGCATAAGTGAAAACCTTTACTCTCGGGATCCCACAACTTCATTTCAGCCCGGTCACTAGCTCGTTTTATTACAATGATCCAACGTTTGTGGTGCTCCGGATCTTGGGGAATCCTGTAGATGGCTCATTACTTATGTCGTCCGTGTCTGTTCTGCATCCTGGGGCACGACAGGAATCTACCATATTTCCTGTCTGATTGAGTTTTCTGACAATAACAAATAGTCCAGCTGCCGGCTTCTACCTGCCAATATGGCGCCGTTTCGATTTGAACTGTTGCATGCCGGGAGAAGTGACGTCAACTCCCGGAGCTCTATAACATACTGCTGTTTCTTATCTTTCTGAGCTTTATACACTTAAAACTAGCAGCATAGCTGACATTTTAACACTAGTCAGAAGGCAGGAACCGCCCCCTCCTCCTTCACTGCTCTCTCATTGGCTGAGAATTTTCAATCGTCTTCTGCCTAAAAGGAAATATGCACCGACACATATGATACATCAATTCAACCTGCTTGGTCCGAGGAGTCTTGTATTAACTTGATATTGTGTTCTGCGTTACCATGGCAACGTGCTTAGCAACAACATTTACAACATTTTAGACACAACTGTATCGACATACTTTAATATAGAAATGTTATTCAAAGTTTAAAAGAGTCATGTGACATTGTGCATTGCTTTATTAAAGCAGATTCCTGTCATCTGTTACCATGGCAACACAAGGAACTACAAATCACTTTAACCAAGTCTCATTGGAATGAATATAAAAAGCTGAATATTGAGCCAATATCAGACTCCTGTTTTTGATCTTTTGGAACTATCTGTACTTAAAACTAGATACAAGTTAAATTTGATTGACCGTCAGAAGGTGGGAAAGTGCCCTGCTCCCTGCCAGCTCGCTGACTGGTTGAGAGAAGTCAATCATCTTCTGGCTAAATGGACTTACACACCCACACAAGTGAGACATCAAGTCGATCGGCTTGGCCTAAAGAATCCATCCACATATAAATCCATACATGCTTCTATCCATCCATCCATCCAACAATCCATCCGTCATTTCATTTATCCAACCATTCATCCAAAAATCAACAATAATGAACAAGAATCTGCTTCTAGACCTGCAGAAAGAGAAAAAAACAAACCAAAAAACAAATAAAAATTGGGACACAACAACAATACAACAAGATCCAGTTATCACTGCGTCAGCTTGATGAAGAAATATATAATCAACATTGTTTAACTGAACAATCACACAACAATAAATCACAGTGCATTTAGTGACAACCATAGCCTTAAGACATGTGTTGAACATGCCCAAGTCCATACTTATGAGAGCACCATGTGAGCACCTGTGTGTGTACACGCGCTTGTTTATGTAAGGTTTCTCTATAGGAGCGTCCAATA